CATACACAGAAATACACTTTGCATTTCAGTACGGTGACTACCCTAAGCTCAGGGGTGTCATGCCTTACAATTATTTTTGAAAACTGTGTACAAGAAACCGCTTAGATATCCTTTTAAAACGGTTAACACGAATAAACTCAGTAATTCAAAATGAAAGGTAGGTTCAAGTAATTACATTTCTAAAAGCTAATCACCTCTTTCGTGTAATCTTTAGAATGTGTTGTCGAAGATTTATACTTCACGACATATAGATAACCATCATTGCAGACCGTTTACTCTTTTGGGCATAACGAAGTAGTTTTTCACATCAACCTCAGAAGTGATTTCACTTTTCTGAGGGCCTATTGATATGGCGGGTACTTTCATCAAACCAAAATATGCAATTTTACAACTGTGCCCACGAACCCGAAATATGATCGTATCTGGTTATGCTTTAGCTTTACTGAGATTCAAAATAAGAACTGTGTACCACTAATCTCGGCTAAAAGGCAGAGAATCGATATAAAACAAACAATACAAGTAACGCAATGGAAAAGTTTAAAGAAGAAGTAAATATCGCACAAATGTATAAATAATGGAAATGAAATTACATCATAAGGGTGCGAAACTTGGTCCCACCCTGAAGAAAGATCATGGAATCATAGTATTTTAGAAGAGGGTGCCTAGATTAAAGTTTGCACCCAATGGATTACGTAACAAAAAGATAAAGTGGCCGACATGAATAAAGGAGGGTGACACAGAGAAAGGAAATATAAAAATGACGTCTTCTTCTAGCTTCAGTAACTGAATACTTTATACACTAACTCTCAGAAAGTGACTGGCTCACGAGGGCACGTGACAGGAGACGCGCAGAAGCGTCCAAAACTCAGCTGCCATCTTTCAAGCCGGTCACTTCAGTGAACATGATTTTATTTAATTCCTGACAGTCTCTTTAGATAAACGTCAAGGAAAAAGCCTTAGAGCACGTATTGGTTTCTTGATTGAAATATAATTATACTGTAAACCGCGCAGTAAAAATACGGTACAGATTAGAATGAGAATATGTAAAGCGAAAAAGGCAGATTTCATTTATCTTACACACTGTTTATGATGGTCTCATATTATTAATTTTGAGCATCACAGACAGAAACTGTAGGAATATGATGGACCTTTGCCAACAAAATGCTACTTGAAATTTTTATAATAGCTGAAGTTAAACGTCAACATTTATTAGATTCCTCGACTCATGGAAGCAGGTGTACAGTAGAGATAATTAATGAGTCGGGAATTTAAAGACGTTCTCATCTTATCTTATCCATATTACCAAACACATAAACCCGAGGTCGAATTAATTTCTCAGGAACTTAAAATATATGTACGAATGTTTCTACTCCTTAGCCAAGATTTTATGTTTAGCATAAAAGCGTTTGGTATCTTGTCAAAATCTAGTCACAGAAGAACAAATTCAGGTATTATGTATTTTTCAAATATTACTTCTTAAAACAAACTTTTATTAAGTGACATAAAATGTATGGGTTTATATGATTACAATGCATGCCGTGTACACGTTACATAGAAGAGTATAAGTTCAAGCAGATTCATTTTCAAGCACTTTACGTTGTGTTACACAGTAAAATGTTTCCCGTTATTTTCTTGACTGTCATTTTCATAAACTCAGTTCACAGTCAATTCTCTTGGATTACATGTTTCAACCAAAAGTAACCATAATAAGTCATTATAATTGTAATAAACCATGAAACTCAGGACTTATTTAATCTTGTATCGTAATTTAATAGTGTAGTTTGTTTTGAAACGTAAACTACTTCTGTAAGTGTAGGTACGTAGCACACTAACCCAAGTCAATTGAGATCCAGATTCCAAATAGATCTATTTAGAGTATATTAAACTAATTTCACTTTCTCTTTAACTTTTCTGAATATTATTTGTTCCAAGTCAGAAATATCATGTGATTGATTTATTCCGTAATTTTCCCCAGGCCTTCATGTGAATTCCAAGTTGCTATTTTAAGTACGTTCACTATCACTTTATTTCCCATAAATTTCTTAAATTTTACTGGACTCATTCTGCTTCTGACTTTGTTTCTTAAATTATTTATCGATGCTTCTTCATCTGCATCGTTAAAATCGTTAAGTGTCAAATTTGATTGTTGCAATTGATGACTTTGGAAGGATAATGGAAGAGGTGAGGGCTGTCATCTGGACTGAGGATCGAATCCGGGACCTTCGAAAATGGAAGCAGTATTAACCACTCGATTACGAAACCGTTAAATGTAATTAACGAGACATCTTTCGCGCACTTTTCATCACCGATGTAATCGACGCTAAATATCTTACAAGAAAGCCTAAAAGGAAGAGGCCTTCGGAATGTCTAGGCTTAGATGGAAAGATAATATTGAGATGGATGTTGAGGAGGAATGGTAGAAATTTGTGAGCCGCATTCAACAGGCCCAGAAAAGGGACTGTAATAAAACTTCGGGTTCCGTAGTTTCTTGACTAGCTCAGTTAATATCAGTTTCTAAACAATGGCTATGTTACACGGAGTTAGTAAGTTGGATGGTTAATTATTTATAAAACAATCTTAGCAAAATTTAATATGCTTTCTAACTTCCCCACGTCCCAACACTTTCACCTCCAGCGCTAGGGCACTCTGCCATTGTCAGGTTTCTTTACATAAAGTAAAAGTCCTTAATTCTTGGTTATAAGTTATTTTGTCTTGTCGCAAATATGAAATGTGTTACAGCATATGCCGTGCCGGCCATTCTAGTCCACATGCTAGGCAGTATTATGTTGGATCGTGTATCAACGAAGGACATAAAAAAAATTCCGTGTGTGTGTTGCATCTTGATAGATATTTGTGATGTAGAACTGCCTTCAGTCTGGCGCTTGACACTTTTACAGTGGTGTATTATCGTGAGGTTTAAGAGCGGCGGCCTAACACTGCGAGCATGTTAACAACGTCATCAACCTAACAGTGCCGCCTCAAAACGACTGCTCTTGCATTTAAGTAGGAGGCAGTTGCCACTTTTGAATGGTATGCTACAAACAAACGTCCAACTAATTTCCCGGATGCTAAAGAAGGAAATGTGCTGCACTCATGAGTAGCCGCATCAATTGAGGGGCCAAGTTAATTGGGCCGCTTGTAACCACGGCGTGGTACCGGATGGACGATAGCTATGAATATGTAATAATTAGCAAGAGAACATCGGCGGAAGACAAGGGGTGGTCCTCCGACATGGGAGTTCGGTGCTGTACATTTCAGACGGACAACCTCAGGAAAGAATGAGATTTAGGCACAGATGATGATGGGTTCATAAGCATGAAATTTGACACTAAAGCAGAGGTTCTCAACCCACGGCCCGTTGTCAGGTAAAGCAGAGGTTCTCAACCCACGGCCCTTTGTCAAATTTTGTTATTTTACATCGTAAAATACATATTGTTAAAACCTTAATATCCAGTGGTGTAGATGTGGTTTACCATCCACTAACTACTTATTATGCCCACTGCGTGAAGCCTGTGTATGGGTTTCATATGGTTTTCAGAATAAACATGGAGTACTTCTTGGAAGAACTTTAACCAACTCATCCTTGTAACAGAGATTTATATGCTTTCTTTAAGGAAAGAACTAAACTGAACTACGAGCTTTAAGGGGTTAATGACGTCAGAATAGTCAATAATTATCACTGCGAGCAACTGCGGAGCTTAATAATGAAGGTTAAGTCAAACATGACGAGCTTTACTGATGAACACTTGAAGGGTTCAACAACAGAATTTAAACGTGATATTGAAGGATTACTCAAGCAAAAGCAGTGTAAAATAACTATATGTCTGATTTTGATAAAGAAAATGAAAGAGTAACGTCAATTTTCTTGCAGATAAGTCCTAATTTAGTAGCATTTTTAATAAACTTTTATGGTGTTTTAATGAAATGCTCTAGGGCCGCGAGTCGATAAGAGACGGTGAATGTAGTCCCAGATGTGGAACATTTAGAACCCTCCGTATAAGGATTACGGTATGGACTGGATTAAACTGGCCCTGGTTATAGTTGAGCAGTGGATTCTTCTGGAGACTGAAATGAATCTACTATTTTAACAAAAGCCGTAGACATTCTGGCCAGTTGAACAAATATCGGAATCGGAAAAAGGAAAGTGTCCCATAGAATTAAATTAGTCAGATAACTTATCTAATTGGTACAGGGATCACTGAGTACAGTAATCTTAAAATCTAAATATGACAGCTTTTAACGAAACATACAGGCCTACATCCTTTGGGCTGAGAAATAATTTTCTATCCCCCGAACACAAATCTATATGATCTGTAGTAACATAAAAATAATATAAGTATGTGCGTCAAGATAGATCCTTGTGAACGTTCGATTTAATTTATCGAACTGTCGTGTAATATTTAATTTCATAGAGAAGAAACCTTCTTGGGGGGGGCTAATTATTGCTCAATTTCTCAAGGAATTCCCCGTTTTTTGCGCAACCCGAATATTTATCAACGTGTTCACAAAGACCGTATTTTGAACCAGAAGAACTGTATTTACACTGTCATATTTAACTTACAAAAGATTTTTTCTAATTTACGCATTTCGTCTCTTCTCCTCAGATTTCCAGACTAAACATTTTACGGCGCTATTATGGGGCACACACCTAATGAAATGAACCGCGCTATTATGGGGCACACACCTAATGACTTCATGATAACAAAATATGTCTTTCCTTACAAATACATCCGAAATGAACAGCTATTAGGAGCCCGCGAAGCGGAGGCGATACTAGAGTTGTCAAAGTCACTCCACGCTGTCTTCTCACGGTACGAGAGTTAATTGGTTCTAGTCCGCGAAGCGGAGGCGATACTAGAGTTGCCAAAGTCACTTCACGCTGTCTTCTCACGGTATGAGAGTTAATTAGTTTCAAGACGGTGCCATAAAATATGAAAATGATATGCAGTGATACTGATGCGAGTCAAAAACACGCGTTGTGAGACGCGTCGAATAACGCATTTGAGCGGCAGAGACCCACATGTTTATTACCAATAGTCACTCGCGTGTCCCAGTATCTACTAACGTACATGTGTTTATGTATAGGCGAAGACGTTCATAGTCTTGCTTTAATATATGTGTATACATTTATAAGAATATTTTATATGTATCTCTTTTAGTTCTTAAGACGTAAATATATATCTGCCAAGTTCGTAAAGGCAACTAGAATTCCACGTATTTTGTTACCATCTAGCGGGATCATCAGTGTCATCCACAGAGAGATGATGTTTTGATTTTTATAACGCCAAAGTACTTTCTTTAGCAAAACCATATGGCACATCGTGTTTATCCTGTAACATAAGACACAAAGTAACGAAATTATTCACGACAGAAAACCAGACATCTTAAATCTGTTTCTTTCATGTTGGTTTAAGAACATGTAATTTAAACCTTAAAAGCCGAACTTATTTTTTAAGAATGTATTCCGTACCGTAAATAATACGCAGTTCTTTACCATTAAAATGATGATCATCTTAATGGTGCTTAAGGAAAATCTCGTTGTGTCTTTAAAAAAACTAAAAATACGAATTGAATGCTACAATTTGACTATTTGTCTTTCAAGATCCTTCACAAACTTTGGAACGTAATCGAAAGCCATAAGCATGGTCCAGCCAAGTTAACAATTTCGAATATCGAATGTGCAGATATTCTTTTTGGTTACTTTCCCCGCCTTACTACTTCTTCATGTTGGCCTAGCCGGTGATTGACTCCAAGACGGTGCAATTTCGCAACCCCACTAGCGTTTCAGTGCTTTCTCCTTGCTCAAAAGTGTCTACATAAGGCACTCCGCTGGTTCATTTCAAGCTGCTCTTTCATGTGGTGTGGCAATTTAGTTTCTCCCTTCCTACCGTGAAAAATACAGTGCATACAGAGCTACATAACCAGAGTAAAGATGAGATTCCTTGGTTCTCAGACTAAGAACAACAACAACAACAACAAGATTTCTCGTACTTGGTCTACATGTTTACATATAACCGCGCGAAATATGTGTTTTTCGTTCACAGTGGTAATACTATTAAACGAGACGATATAATAAATATAAGGCAAGAAAAGTATATCGTAAATTAAAGACAAACTAATACTGATTCTTTAAACATGAAGGTAATTTATGAAACTAACATAGGTCTCCTGCAGGAGCCTGTATTGAACCAGCTTAATCCAATAAATCTCATTACATCCTACATCCGTACGTGTATTTTAATATTAACGTCTCATAAATTACCTATCCCCTTTGAACCAAAATCTTGAACACGTTTCTTTATTTACATGTCCCTGCTGCATGCCCCGCCCACCAAACCCTCCTCATCCTAACACTATTACACGAAGACTACATACAATGAAGTTCCATATTATGTAACATCTTTCCTGCAACGTCTCTCTTAGTAGGGTTTTATATTTTCGCGGCGGTGATTTCAAAGATAAATGTCTTCTGGGTTGTCGTGCCATATCCTAACATAACACGTCCTCATCTCACCTAACCTAACTTGACCTCGCAGAAACTTGAATGAAATAACCCCACCACATTCTCGGACTTCACAAATTTCAGAGTTTCATGATATAAAAATGCTAAAACAAAATACTTAGGCGTCCCGTTCTTCAGTGTCTTGAGCACCTGCGGGCCTTGATCTATAGACATTAGGTAGCACTCCTTGGACGAGGGATCGGCCCATCGCAAGGCCTCTACCTACACACAGGACAACACAACACAGAAAGACGCGAACAAACATCCATGCCATGAGTGGGATTGGAACCCACGGTCCCATTGACCAAGCGGCACAAGGCCCACGCCTCAGACCACGCGGCCTCTGTGGCGGCGTTAAAAAGTAATATTCCTCAAAAATCTAAATATGAATTTTATTAAGACTTAAAAAATTCTATATCTTCTAAATTTTTAAAATTTAAGAATGCCCACAATTTTATAATTTTCAAAGTTTTTCGAAATTTCAAAATTTAAAACAAAAATGTAACGCTTACCGAGTTCAAAATTATCATATTTGAAAGTCATAGTATTAAAAATATATTAAAATTGGCCGTCAATCACAATATAAGATAATTAAAAGATTAAAATATCATTTTTCGTTCCGTATCGAGTACTCGATTTACATGTGGAACATTTACGACATGTTTCGGCTATCATAGAGCCGTCATCAGGTGTTATGTTATAAACTTTTTAACTGAATTACTGATTTTTACT